TTTAGTACTTTTCTCCAGCTATCACTGCTGTTCCTCACAATGGGTATCAAGTCTTGGCTAAACCAAGTAACTTTGATCAGCAAAGTTTGCAGTTGTGATGCTCGTCCCTCTTTCCAGATATATTATGCTTGTGTTGGAGCCTACTTTGCATGGGTCCCAATCCCTTTAAAACAGGCCCATTAGAGAGCAGCAGAATTCAATAGTCCTCCAACGTATAATGCAGACCACAAAGAGCTTTCCAAGGGATTTGGCCCGGCCAGGCAATGCTTTGACTGTAGTTGTGAAAGATCTGCTCTCTGAATGGAGTAACCTCAGATTGCTTGCCCCTGGAGAAATATCCTCTACACACATACGCATGGAAGGGATCATCAGCATTTACAGAGACCACAAAGGTTTGGGATTTCTTCAAAGAGCTGGTAACAAGATTGTGTAAGAATCAAATAGCCTTGCAAATAGCTGTATCCCATTAGTCATGACAGCAAATGCTGGGCTGAATCAAATGTTTATTGTGGCTTACGAAGTCTCTCTGTACACATAACCTTGGGCAAGACCCAGAAATTCTGGGCTCTGCATTTGAAAGGCAGCTGGATGAATAGCCATGGCAAAATAATCAAAAAGCACTGTTTATTTGCTCATTACATTAACCAAGTGATTAACTGAGTAATGGGAGACTTAGAAGAAAGAAGAAACCTTTCCCTTTGTGTGAAGTCTGTTTTTCAGACTTTCCACGAGTATTACACTTTCCTGGAAAACAAAACTAAGCTCAATATACTCCAAATCAGCCATGAAAGCTCTCCCCAGTCTGACCAAGCAGCTCGGTGCATTGCTCAGACCTTCATGCAGCTCCTCCTTCCTTTCTCAAAATGTGAAAGGCAGCAAAATCATTATGGCTGACTGACTGACTTGTCTTCTGAGGGATAAACATTAGTTCAGGAGCTCTGGAGGGCTTCACGCAACCAAACGTGGGTGCCTCCTTGCAGTTCTCATCTAATTTTTCCTGTATTTCCCTTTTAGCAGCTCAGCTTCTCAGAGGAGGCTGCTTCTGCTACCAGACAATGAGCAAATCTGCTGCAGATTTTTTCCCAGCGTCACTCCTGATGCAAGCTAGTGCAAATGAAATATTTAATTCTGTTTGAGAATTCTTCTTTGCTCCCTCCTGATAATCCAGGCTCCCCACTCAGTCCTTCCTAAGCTACCGTTCCTCATATTCTTGGAGATATTAATTATTTGTAAATTCTTTCTGTGTGCCTCTCACCTGCTGTAGTTACTGTGCTGCCTCTTAGCTTTGTAGTGCAGAGGGAAAAAATGTTGTTCTTACTCCCTGAGAAATTCGTAGAGAAGCATTTAGCCCCTCTTCCTCTACTGAATATCTGATTGATTTTAGATCACTTTCAAGAGATTATATAAGGGTGCCCAAAGAATCCCACCACTGCTGGTAGCAATCTGCAGAACAATTGTTTACACAGCGTGTAAATTGCTAACAAGCAATATGCATTTCTAACTCTAGGTGTAGGAGAGGAGTAATCCTCTAACAGGCCATGAAAATACTGCAGACAGGGGGACAAACCACATACTTAGGGCCATCTGAGGTGCTGTAAGGTGTCTGTGTTAGCCACCGGTTTCTGCTCTAAGTGCCCCATCAGTCCTGCATCACATCTACCAGGTCTGTGCAGATGTCTCCAAGACCCTCAGCTGCCTAAACTGATGTTAGAGTACCTCTGGGCTCCTGATCCTCTCCCAGGACTGCAGCTGGGATCAGTCTTACCCTGGTCATATCAGGGCCAGATTTAGTGCTGGCGCTGGAGCTGTGGCTGGGCTTTGGGCACTGAAGTTAGCATGCATATACCCCCTTGGGACAAAGCACAGCCACTGTGCCTGTCTGTGTATGAGGTCTGGATGTGGTGGTACATGCAGTGGTAGCACACAACCAGCCCCACAGTGAGGAGGAAGAGGGCAGGGGGGTCAGTCCTCCCTTTGTGCCTCTGAGCAGGTGACAGATGTGGCTGGCAGCTGCCCTTGCTGGTGCATGGTCCTGGAGAGGGACCAGAACACAGCTGTGCAAATGCACAAAGATCAGATATTGGAGTAGGGGGTTAATGCATCAGTCAGATGTGGGTAAGACTTGATAGACCCGAACTGGCTCAGGGCTGTGCTCTAGGTCAAACGGAGGAGCGGCCCTTTTGTGGAAAGAAATCCTAGGCAGCATCCTAGGGAGCCAGGCAGAAGCCTCTGTGAAAAGATAGAGAAAGCAACACCCTATCCTTCAAGTGCACTCACCAATGAAAACAGCACTTGTACTGATGAAAGCAAAATAAATGTAATGAAAAACACTGTAAGATATTAGTGGCTGTTACCTGTTACACATTTGTTTTAAGCCCCTTGAATGCTGATAACTACTTTTTTCCCCCTAGAAAATCTTTCTACATTATTGCTGTTTCCTTTACTCACCACATTTGCAGTCATCACTTGTAAATTCAAGCAATGAATTCATGAGGAGCCTGGATGGCATAATAATACAATCTTGCAAGCTATCACAGCTACCACCCAGCAATGCCAGGATGCTTAACCTGTGCAAGCGGATTAAGCCTCGCAGTGCTCTTCTGCTGCATGAGGAGGTAGTGAAAATCCCTTCAGGCAGAAGAGAAACCCTTCAGGGCACCATATTTCTAAGTCCCTGGGGCAGAAACGTACATGCCTGTTTGGTACCAGCCCAATGCCTCCAGGAAGTGTCAGATCTGCTCTGCATGCACTGCGCAGACAGCCTGCACATGTTCAGTAACTCTGCCCTGCTGGGATGTGCCTGGCTCCCAGCACACAGCACATGCACCAGGTAACACATTTGCAGAAATGTGTACTCTGTTCAGTGCTTCCACACAATGGTCAGTCACTCAGGAAGTGTGCATTAAATCCACCCAGTACTTTTAAAAGGCATTAGAATAGCTGATGTTGTGAGCAGTTTGTGCAAGATAGGGCAAGGACTGTCATCCTTTGCTGTGTATGTTCACAGAGGAACAGAACCATATGAAAATACCCCCCTGGAAATGTTTGACTCCATTGCTCATGTGCTATGCAGCAGATCTGTGCATGTGTTTTAAAGATGTCCAGGGGATTCAGATGTCTGGCATCCTGCTCAGATTCCTAAGTGTTTAAAGAGTCTTCAATAACCTAGATGCACATTAGCTCTAATCAGAGCACAGAGAAGCAAAAGCGTAGCAGAAAACTGTTAATCTGTTCCCCACGAAACACTTCACAATACAGTTTTGTTATAAATCTGCACAACTTCACTGATAGTACATTAATCAACACAATAAAACTGATACTAATGCTTTTTTTATTAAAGGACTAGCAAAATGCTTTGTCTTGCTTTCAGGTAGCACTAAACCCAGGTTAGTAAGGATATCTACAATTCAAGCACTTCAACAGCTCACTACCTCCGAGATGACCAACCAAACTTTTAAATATCTTGCTGCATTGGAACCTAATTCACAAAGCAGGACCCATTGCAACCAGAAATACATTGTGTTTCCTCCACATTCTAAATTGGGAAGTAAAACTTTGATTTCTAGCACACCCTGTTCCTCCATCATTGACACAGCTAGATCTCTGCTGAAGTGTAAATGATCACCGCACTGTTGAAACCCTTGTAATGTTGTAATGGGAAGTGTTAATTTTAACAGGAGACACACAAATGCCTGCAAAAACAACAGATCAGTCATAAGTGGGTAGATAAAGAAATGTATTTTTATTTTCATTTCAGTGATCTGTGTGGCCCAGCAGTGGACTCCAATTCTGAAAAGAATTAAATAGTGTTTTGTACCTGGTCAGAGAATGGAAACCCATTTGCAGAATTTTTAAAAAATCACAGACATTGTTCCAGTATTACAGCTGGGGTAAAAAAACCAAAACCAACAGATTCTTGAAACTAAACAGAATTAGTTAGAAAGAAGGTGTTTTTTTAATAGTTCTCAAAGCTTTACCTGAAATACTAAACATACACAACCAGCCGTCATAAAAATCACGCATGTCATGAATTTGTTTATCACTGAGAAGGATTAGCTGAAACCTGTTACAGAGCCAGACAAAATGCAGCAAATTCTTTCCACAAAGTAACTGTGTATATGGTTCCATCCTATAGTGCCCTCATGTTTTCTTAGAAAAGAAAAAATAGAAAATTTGCTTGTTTAGCCAAAATTCTGTTTAGGGGGTGAAGGTTTAGGGGAGGACAAAGAATGAACTCGTTCCTTCCAGCCAGCCATCTCTGTTGCTTCCAACTTAGCAGAAGCCGCTCTATTCCAGTTCCACAGCAATATCCTCCTGTGCCAGCCCACAGGAATGTCATGGAGGGAAATAATCACAGAATCACAGAATTAACTAGGTTGGAAAAGACCTTTAAGATCATCAAGTCCAACCATTACTGTCAAGACCACCACTAAACCATGTCATTAAGTGCTTCATCTGTATCTCCCTCTTCCTTCTTCATCCCAGTTTGGGTTAGCTGTCCCAGCTGTGTACCCCCAGCCTATTTGCTGGTGAGGTAGTGTGAGAGGCAGAAAAGGCCTTGTCTGTGAGTAAGAACTGCTCAGCAATAGCGAAATAATGCTCACGAGGTCTCTATATTTTTGGTGTCAAACAAGAGCAGGAACTGGTGGTTGGCTGGAGGACAGAAACAGAAGCCAGGATGCCCAGAAGTGTGGGCAACCAAGGGAAACTAAAGCACTGCTTCTCTGCACAGACTTCCTGAGATCACCAATTAAATGCACAGGATTAGGGAGAAGTTTATGTCTGTCATATTACGCTATACGAATTCCAACACAGCTATGTGCCAACTATGGTATGTTTCTGATGCTGGTAGAGCCAATCATTAAAGTACAACCTTGGAACATTTTCTGTGATGCTGACCACTAGAAAGGATAGCCAGCCTTGAGCACTGAGATGAAAAGCAGCTTTTGCAATGGTGTTTATTGTCTTGAACATTTTCACAGATGTAATGCAATATTATCAGCTAACTGTATGGTTTTAGTAAAGAATCATTCATTGCTTTGATCCTTTCTGAAGAAGATCTGTGTATTTGCAGACCAGAATATTCTGCCGATGATTAATTTTTTTCTCTTGGCAGGAATCCAAGCATCAAAACGTAGGCTTTTGTAGCTGTGGTGAGTAATCTGTCAGCAGGGAAACCATGACAGCCTAGAGGAGAAGAAAAGAAAAAATCCAATCACATTGGAAACAGATACTCCATAAAAATAAATAAGGGGGAAATATTTTCCTGCTCTAAAGTCTTGTGTTGAAAATTATTGTCCTGACAAAAACTGACCACTTAGATTTATTTTCTAGAATTTCTGATGATGAATCAGGAAAGAGCTGAAAATCAGTTAGGATGTTCTATATTGCAGCAGAGAGGTTTTCTCAGTGTGGACAAAATATATTAATGCACAGCCTAGGAGAAATACAGACAAAGCATTTAGATCAAACACTGAGGCCTTTTTTTAGTGTGTTATATTTTGTCCTCAGCTACTGCTAGAAAACTCTTTAGGTGCCCAAAGAGCTTGTGGGCTTGCCTTTGAATTTCAGAATCCATGAGAACCATATTAGAATAAGGACTTTGAAATTCATCCCAGTTTAGCTATACTTTCTGAGGTATAACATGAAAAATCCTCACTGAGGTTAATAGTGTGTCATCTACCCCTCCTGCCCTCCTCTAGTACTACAACAAACAGGTATGGCTGTGAAATGAGAATATTGGGAATGTCAGCTAAATAAAACACGGTGTTGCAGCAGCTCTGTTAGCCTCCCCACACCTGTGTACACAACAAGCCCCATGCTTGCTTTTGACAAGGTATTACCAGGTTCACACTGTTGTGATTTCACAGCAAACTGTTATTTTGGATCCAGAACTGGATTTACAGAGGTTCAGGGGTTGTGATCTTGTTGCCTTTCCCTTCCGCACCCCTCAGTGTGAGAGGTAGTCCCAGCCACACAGTGAGGACTGAACATACAGCTGTGCAGCTTCTTGCTGCAACCCATGATGTACCTGCACTCGGCCCTGTTTGGGACTACAGCTGAGAAAATAATTTATGTTCCAGTTTGCTGCCTGAGCTGAAAGTAGTAGAAAATAATAGATACACAAAACCCAGGCATTCATTATTTTTATAGCTTGATAAAACACAAATATGATGTTTTTCTCACCCTAAAAAAAATAAATGTGCAGCTGGAACCCACAGTAAAGGGTTTATTTTATTTTATTTTATTTTTTTTTTTAAATATCTAAGGCAATTGGAAACATTGAAAATTTAAAATAAAAATGTTATCACTGTTTGGAATTTTAAGGCCAAAACTATGAATTTAACACAAATTTCTTAATACGTTTGACTGTGTAAAATCTGAGGTTTTGCTAAACACTATACTCAAACACCTATGTGCTAACAACACATCTAGAGTTCATCTGAGAGTTATGACAATGCCATTTCTGGTGGGTATTTTTCACCTCTGAAAGTTTCACTAGCTCTTGTCAACATGACGGTTCTAAAGCCAGCAATAAATAACAGGCTACTGAGATCTGGCAGTAATTTTCTGAAATTCTAGGAATGCTGAGAGGGGAGTTATGGTTTATGTTAAATGCCAATGTCCTCTCATGGTTCCCATGGCTCACACAGTATTACCCACACCATAACTTTTCAGGGTCCTTCAAAGCTTTGCTCTTGGAGCTCTTTCTCAGGGAAAGTTCCCATTGGTGTCAGTAACAGTTTTTCCTGAGAGAAAACTGCATAAGCTTTAAGTGTTTGGGAAATTGAAGTTTCTAAGACCAGTCACTGGGGCCTCAGCATTTAACATGTATTAAAATTGAGCAGCTGAGTTAATTATTAGAGTAAACCCAGTGATTTAAATACCAAAAAATTACAGTTTGTACTGCAGATTTCAGTTAGTTATAAAAACTGGGTCAAACAACAGCAGATTAACATCAAAATAGGTCACATTTGTGTCCAGGAGTATTTGTGCTACATATATATCTTGCCTGTAGTCAAAACTGTGATGTGCTGTGGTGTGCATTTGAAGCATATGTATTAATGAGGAACTAAGCTGAATCCAAGCCTGTATTGTAAGGTAGAACAGAAGCTGACCCTAACCTCTAACTAATGGTATCTTCTTTCTTTACCATAATTGTCCATTTTCTGTTTTCAGCTTCCTGGAAGACCAATGACTGTGGAGAATAAAATACTTCATCATCAACTTCTTCAGGTTTTCTGGGTAAACAATGTAAAAAAGTCCAGTTGGAAGCAGCAGATTTTGCAGTCTGTAGACCAAAAAGCATATAAAAATAAATAAATTAGAAAAAACCCATGTGAGGACATTAATAAAATTTTTAACTAGTAAAAAGGCTAAAAAATTTTATATTGGCTGCCACTTTAGTTACTTGTGTGGTGAACTCAGAAGGATTCCACTGACTGCAAAAGGAGTTCCTCATTTGTGAATAAGATGGGAATAGCCCCATGTAAGTCAGTAAGAGTTCAGTGCTGGCTTCAAAGTTGGATATCTACTCCTGTCTCTCTGGCTTTAGCAGGGGAGTAAAAACCCCAGGGACCCAGTTAATCAATAAATTGCAATCTTTATTTGAGTGCCACACAGTAATATAATCTATCAATAATTGCAACAACATACTAACACATGATTTAAAAGCCTATACATTTTTTCTTTTTATATTGTCACTCATAATATATTGATCTAGTACCAATGAAGAATGAATTAAAGCATTTTAGGCCAATTCAGAGACATATCCATCAACAGTATTTTGTGCATTTGTGTTAAAATACAGTCAATAAAACCATTAATTCTATCACCAAGGAAAATGTCTAATCTTATACAATTAATAGTTTATGATTCTGTGTTTCCTCTAACTGATTTTGTTCTGATAAGTATTTCAACTAGATGATTTTAAAGACATATATTTGATGCTTTATTCATTGACAGATATACGCAAAATTGCCCCAAATGCTGCCCAGGCACTTAAGAATTTATCTGTGAGCTGCTCATTCTAAATAAAATATAAAGGACCTTTTCTGGTATCAAAGAAGAAATTCAAAGTTAGAAATAGTTTTTAGGTCATAAAGAAGTAAAGGGTTAGCTCTCCTGCATATGTTCTGGAGTTAGGCCTCATTGGGAAGCTCTGCAAGAGGCCAACCCATGTGAAGTGTATAAAATAACTCAAACTTTGTTACCTTTGTGGGTTTTTAAAGCTGAATGAAGGTTTATGTATGATTGTTCCATAGCTCCATTCAAAAAAATACCAAACCCATGCTTTGCTGATGTTGATTCTCACATAAATGCAAACCGTAAAAGCATTAACAAAACTAAACCTCAATTTTTACCTGCATTGTAATCTGATAACCTTGAAACGCCTTTAGTCTTTCTTTCCTTTCCTCTTCTTGTCCCATACTTATCCATGTGTCTGTAACTAAGACATTGGCACCGTCTGCAGCCTGCAGAGGATCTGTTGTGAGGAGTAACTTGGTACCATACTAATGTGAATAAAATAAGGAAGACAAGAAACTTCAACTTTGTTTATAACAAAAATAAACTCTACTCAAACTACTCTACTAGTCTATTTCTTAGGTTCCTACCTCTTTGGAGAACTGTTCAGTTATTTTAGTTATTTTGAGGTCTGGTTCAAAGCCCTGCCAAAAGAGATGATAGGTAGCATCACTGAACATATGTAAGATTTAACTGATTATTAACACTGGTTAGAAAAATACTGATTGAACCATTTGCCATGGGAAGAAGAATATCTTTCAGAGTGGTAAAATTTGAGGGAATTACGTTGATTTTGTTGAAAGTTTATTTTGGAGATAAATTGGTGCAAAGTGTTTTGGTAAAGTAAGAAAAAATGTATTTCAACAGTTACAGAATGAAATACCTATACATAATATTTTTTTCTAAACTCATTCTTTGTTTTGTATTTTTTATTGTACTACAATGCAGCATCATCAATGCAAACCAACCAAGATGTAACACTTCCATAAATCTGAAACAACTTTCAAAGTTTATTTTGGGGAAAGTGGGCAGTGGGCGACTCTGTAACACTTTCTGAAATGGAACTATCATCCTCCATGATTTATAAAGCAGTCATGAATTCCCCTCAGCCCTTCTGAAGTTGGACTCAGTAGAATTATTCCTGCTTTACATCAGGACAACTGAACCAGGATTCTGAACCTTGGTTCTGAAAGCTGCCACGAAAGATATGTGCAAACAACACTAACTGAGGCCCTTGGTAAATGTCCATGTGGCTGAGACAAGAATAGGCAGTTTGCCTTCCTTACTCCATGTACATGGCTTTCCTACCTTGGGAGTCGCAATACGCAGGTGCATTCCCAGCTTCGCAGCACTCATCATCATGGAGTGGAGGACATTGTTTCCATCCCCAATCCAGGCAATAGTGAGCCCGTTCAGCCGGCCATAATGCTCCTGCCAAATGAATCAGGCAGTCCTGGGGTTATGTTCCAGGTGAGCTGAGGAAGCTGATGCCTTAGGCAGGAGGGATTGATCAGATGGGTCTGCTGCAAAAAAAGGCTGGCTACCTTCAAATGCTACCTGCACGAAACCGTACTTTTAATTAAACTTACTGCAGCTACAAGATGGCCAGGGAGGGAAAGACCTCCCATGCCTTACTTGAAGGCCCAGATACTGCAGCTCCCTCCCCTAAAGGACACATTGACTTGTATGGCATATAGTGAGGCCGAGGCTGAGAGACACAGTCATGCTGTGAGCTGTACAGCTGTGGGTTGGTGCTCATAAATATCAGTGAATGGTAGAAATTCTTAATTTAGAGGCAATCCTGGTGCCTAGCATAGCACTTATTCCAGCTTTCCCCCAAACTGTGAAAATATCCCTACTGAGGATGGCCTTGGAGTGCATTTTAACTGTCACAGCTGTACAGGACAGCAAAAAGCAATGCTTCGAAAGCAGCTACGCAGTTCATGGCCTGCAGGGTTTGCTCTCCCTTCTGAGCCAAAGAGTGAATTTTTAAAGTGTGGATTACATGAACTTGAAACAGCATTACAGCATTACCTGTAGCTTTGCCTGATGGCACTTACAGCCTGGACATGTACAGCTACTCTGGCTTTCAGCCACCAGCAGATAAGGTCTAAGGAGGAACAAGCGTAACATGAGTTTCATATTTCTAAAGCAGGACAATTTGAGGCCTTTTAGCCAGCCTTGTTTTAAATATGTATGGTTATAGGTACTTAAGTTGATACCAGAAAGTTTGTAAAGACAACCAATTGCTTCTATATGCCTGCTCTGAACAACTCCATCTCATAACTCGAAAGACTAAAGACATGATGGAGAGCCTTTTGTTCTTAGTTCAAAACTGGGCCATGCTACAATTGCATTGTAGTAGCAGGAAGCCAGACAGTGTTTCAACACTTTGTGTGACATGACTCAATGCTTGTCAGAGAGGATAAGCATCCACACTGTAGAGCTGTCCTAACTGGCAACTTTGCAGCCAGCCATAGCAAAGATGCCAAAAGTCTGAATAGGGAAAGGGCTGGGACTACCTCCTCCTCTCCTGGCAGCAGTTTCTCCTAAACAAATAGTTGTGAAGTTGTTCCAGAACAAAGTTAATGGCATTTCTGCCAGTGACCACAATTTTGAGTCAAAAATAGTAGCATTTCAAATATTGAATGGCATTAAAATGCCATTGAAATCTAAACCTAATGGAGTCTGAGGCTGCCTACAGTTTAAGGGCTAAAACTAGGGCATTGTAAAACTATCGCTTTTTCAGTTGATGTTTGTTAGCAGCAGGCTTATTGGCAGAGGTTTGATGCAAGGGTATTTACAGGAGAGCAAATCAGGACTTTGCTGACATGGAAGTTATTTCAGCGTAACAGTTCTGCAGGTCTCTAAGGATCTTTCAAAGTCTTTCCACATCTCCAAGCAATGGTGCTTCTAAGAGAAGGCCAAACTAAAGCATTTATTTAAGGGCTTGTTTCCAGCTAAGGCTTAGTGATAGCTGAGACATGAACCCACATCCAGGAGCAAATGAGACAGCCCTGAGATCTTTTGATCTTACTGTTTAAAAATAGGCATTGTAGCCTTAATGCTCAAAGCACTGACTAGTAAGTCACAAATATACTGCTATGTTAAATAACTTCCACCTTATTACCAGCTGCTACTCTGCATTAAAAGAAGCACAGTGCATACTAAATACTTTTCTCTGTTCCCAAGCTACTAGCTGTTACGGATAAAGTATGAAGTACTGGAGATATCTGTATAATGACCCTCAATGTGCACTGCAAATTGCAAAGCCACATCAGCAGTGACTACTGTATAGAGTAGACATAGCTGAGCCAATCTTAATGAAGACATTTAGCTAATGGAAGAAGTTGTAGGCAAGGCAGAATCAAGCTGTGTGTGTGCCAGTGGAGCCTATTTAGTATACTGTGCTAAGCTTTATGTTGCCACTGGTATACTGCTGCTGTACCTCAAACCTCTTCATCTAAAGCCATCTTACCATGACTGTGACTGTACTCCTTACACACATATGCCCTGAGCTTCCAAGAAAGATGAGATGATTGTGTTGGTCAGAAATAGGAAGCTTTGAGCACTACGAAAGCTACTGTGGATGAGAACATTTATTTACTTTTGTTTGGTTGGTTTTTTTACAATATGTGCTTATACAACTGCACAGAGAAAATCCTGCTAAAGGTGTTTTGCCATGAATTAACATGTTAGGTTAAACCAGAACCTTTACAATACATGCTGATCACCCAAACCCCTGAAGCTATTATTCCCCTTATATCCCTCCCCAGTTTTTCCAAACGCTATTATATTGATGTAGGCTTTTTACCTGCTTGGGTGTTCTTCAGTTTCTCTTTACACTTGGAACTTGACTTCAAAATATTTATACTCCTAGTAAAGCCATACAAAAAATAACGTATTTAGAAAGTCTAGAGTCCTTCTCCCTGTTGAATGCCTCTGGCAAAGGATTGGTTGCTGCTCTAGTGCCACAAAACTTGGCTTTGCTATTCTCATGAAAAATCCCTGCTAAATAATTAATGTCACTTTTACAGTCAACTTTCTCACCCTCATGCTGTTTTTACAATGCTTCTTTCTGTTCTTAGCTGTGGTTGCAGTGTATCAGTGTATCAAACCCTGGGAAACAATAAACATGCTCAGTGATTTAGCACTGCTGTATGTTTAGAGAAGACTGGTTTAGCTAATTAGGGATATTCGTGTCTGCCTCTGCCTGGACTTGCTTCCAGCCAGGCTGAAATCCTGTCGACATTGTAGATTACTTCTGAAATGTTTGACCACAACAGTCATAACAGCCCTCAATTAAAACAAGCTTTTGAATACCAAATCAATAATTTGTCAAAATTTAAAATGGAAAGCAGGGGACTAATCAAAGCTTTAGCCCTTCAGGAGACTGCAATCCAGTAAATCAGAAACTGAGCAAATTTAGATCTACTGGCTCTCAAACTGAGCTGAAGGCACATATTGGGCCATTTATCTTTCTTACTCCCACACTGGTTTTTGTCATCATTGTTGAAACAGTATATCCTAGAGGATCAGACCAGATCTTAGTTGGATTTCTAATTGTTAGAATAATGATGATGATGGTGGTGAATTTGAGGACTATAAAAATTTGAGCTCTTTGGGCCACAGACTGAGAAGTTGAAGTGTATGTCAGCCCTCTTCAAGCTGGGCAACACAGTAATTAGTTACACTACTTAAAAAGGAATCACTGATGTATTTCTTATACCAATCACTTCTTTCTGAAAAAGACATTTCCCATCACACTAGTGACATAAAAAGCTAGTAACATATGGATCTGCTCTAATTACCAGTCTGGCCATGCTGCAGTCAGCTACAAGTTAGCTAATATGCCAATGACATTACTATCAATTGAATCAATGTCAATTTCTGGCCTGTCCCTGGAATGCAAACTATGTGATGCTGCCCTCCAGCCAAGCTTCACAGGGCAGAAGCTGTGGCTCACAGCTCTCAGGAAACTGAGAAGTACTGGGTGGGCTCAGCAAGGGGCTGTTACATGCCTTCAGCACAGAGAGAGAAGTGGCTCTGCATGTGCACAATACCAGCACTCACGGTCTCTAAAGGCCAAATTCCCAAACCCTCAAAATCACATTGCATGATGTTTACAACCATTTCTAGTGGGTTAGAAATCAAGAGCAAACTCAGATCCACTCAACTTTTAAGAAAGAGGGTAGCACATATCCTACATCTCTCTTGGATGAGGAACCACAAGTAACTGTCGTGGTTTAAGCCCAGCCAGTAAC